ATCATTAGCATCAATTTTGGATGACTTCTGCCTGCTAAAAACAAGTAAAACCGTGACTCAAATTTTGCCGCTGGCAGCAGCGATTAGTCATGGTTTCAAGGCTTCATGCTTACTTTGTGTTATTGGTTTTCAGCCACATTTGAAACATTTTCAAAGGACATCAACTCAACATCATTTCTACAAATTTTGAGAATTTTTAGGACTCATTTGCTTGCTGAAATGACACAAAAACTAAACTTGGACAGAATCAAAATCTACCCTTAATACCCATATCTCCATTCCTCCACGAGCCCGAATTGCTTTGCTGATTTTTGTGCATCTTATGCAAATTTTAATCTGCAAATTCTTGACATTAGAACATGTTTAGTGCTCATTAATAAGGATATAAAATTTTACAAAATAAAAATGTTCCAAAATATCAAACAATTTCAAAACAGAATTATGTAAACTTGAACTCACCATTTGATACCCAAATTTTCACATCTATAACAAACATAGTATTAATAACAACAAGACATACCTTTGCATTAAAACGAGCCAAGGGAGGCTTTGACACCACTACTAGGAACAGCATGATTATAGCATCAACGCAGCGGAATAACAAAAATTGAAATAAAATAAAACATGCCTCCTATCTTTGGATCATATTAGTTGTTTAATGCAAAGTTAAGTACCACATAAAATCAGAAAAAATTTTACCTTTCCAAGTGATATCATAATCAAATGGATTCCTTTTGATGACAAAATGTGAACACCTTTTGTGTGAAAGAATCTGAGCCACTCAATCGCTTAGCCTCCAATGATGCACACATGTTTGCAATGGATCCTTCCCAAGGAGAGAGCTTTATGCCACGAGCTTGTGCTAGCAAGAAGACAACGATTTGGCCTCTTTTCTTCTTTGATTTCTAGTAAATGATCAAAGGAGAAGTTCTAAAAATAAAATTAAACCTTTCAAGAGTGGCGGCATTCAAGAGAGAAAGAATTTTTATTTTGTTTCCTTCCCCACTTCCTTAAAAGAAAGAGTGGCTATAATGTGATATTTATATCTAGGTTTAACTTATCAAAATTTGCTAAATAAGTCCTTAATATTGTAACAATTATAATATTTAGCTAATACCTAATTAAACTCTTTTAATTAGGTCCTTAGTAGTTAAAACCTAAAATTTGATTTAAGTCTAACTTAAATCATCACACTGTCAATTTAATCCAAATTGCAACCTTTGTGTGTGACCTATTAGGTTCCTAACATGTTGGCAATAGAATTGTATTATAATATTATTAATTAATTAATTTAAATGAATCATATTCAATTTTAAATTAACTAATTCAATTCCATAAATCATGATTGGCATCTAATAATGCATCATGGTGACCCAATTGTTAGGAGAGTCAAAGGATTCTTTGACAACCTTTCAGTGTACAGTTTTTCAGTGTAATTCATTCCCTCATCATATGTCCCAAAGATGATAAGAGTTTGATGCAGTGCCTACTCTTATTGACTTCCATATTTGTTCTTGCAGTTAAATCATTAGCTTTATGGAGACTTATGAAACTCATTTCATAATTTCGTAATCACCTTGGCCAAGGATTTGATTAAGCTAATATCAACCAAGAACTAATGAGATATTTTCCCTTAAATCACTTGGGGTGATGATTCCTATCTTGACCACTCATTTGCCTTCATATGCTTCATACTATAACCAAAAAACATCCTATTTTGGCATCCTTGGTTAGGCACCGATAAGGATGAAATCAAAGTATAGTACTCCACATACAAAACAACTTGGTGTCTCAAGTATAGGGAGTAGTTACACAACTGACACATGAGATGTGTTATATAGACACTTGAGTGAGGTACCAAATGCACTTCTCATGGCAGGTCATGTTCAGTGAACTCGCTCTCTCATGGCAAGCACCCACATGCTAGTTTCAAGTATCTTTATACTTCAATCTATGAGAACGATTGCTTACTTTACAAGTAAGGAACATAACATGTGCCAATCTTTGAGCATTATTGATGCCTTGTCTCAATAATACAATGATCAGGAACTTTTAGGAACAATGCTTTCATGCATAAGGATTTTATAATTGTTTCCCAATACAATTCCTTTGCAAAGCATATATAATTCCATGGGCTTTATCTACATAAGTATATGAAAATAATTTAAATCATAAACTTATGGATAAAGAACTATCTCAATATTATTATGAATAACAAAATGTCATAAATGAATATCTCAAAATAGTAATTCCCATACAACCATAGATTGGCTTGTAAGGCTTATACTAACATTTCTATCATATAACAATTAGTATAGTTATTTCCTAGAATAAAAATCTCATAATAATAATTTTAGGTACTTTTGAAAACTACTCGTTTTTAGCGAAACTAATTTGTTAGCTAAAACTCAAGCTTAAAAAGCTATAAATCTTTCATCCTTACCTTAGCTGAGCTTTGATACTAAGGAAAATCACAAAATCTTTGAGTTTTAGTGTTCAACAGAAAAGCTGGACATAAAAATAATATTTTTAGTGTTGAAAAATTAATAAATCAAGATTTAAAAGTCGAAAGATGTCACCTTAGTTTAATAAATCCAAAACCAAGCTTCCAATCTTCTAAAATGATGATTTAAGGTGAAAATAGGTTTGGAAGAGCTTCAAATTGCTAAAAAACTTATGAGAGACGGCTTACAATGATAAAACCCTTGAAGTTGGAGTCATATTTATAATATGGGATGCAAAAATAGCCTTGTTATTTTTTTAAAAATCGACGAAATGTATTGATACATTTGGCAATTTCTTGATACTTTTGGTCATGGAAAAATTGTATCGGTACATTATGAACGTGTCGATACTTGTTCATCAAAAACTCTTTTTAGGGTAAATGTATTGATACATCATGCACATGTATTGGTACATTTAAGACAAATTACAGTTTCTAAGACAAATTACTTGTAAAATTTGCTCAGCTTATTTACATTAAATATATTAAGTAAATGGAGAGTAATTTAATATAAATAAGCAAACACCCTCTGTTTGGATTTAATAAAAATATCAAAAAAATTAAATCCCTAAGAATCAAAAACTAAATTTTGGTTTTAAGAACAAAATAGAAAAATTCGATTGAAATTAAATTTGAGGCTCTCATTTACCATAGCAAAAGTATTCCAAAAATTATAAAAAAATCAGCTTTGGTCATCTAAAAATCAAAGGAATCATTATCGTAATTTTTTATTTTCAAAATTTTTTTTTTATAAAAATTACATATTTTAACCCTTCCAAACTTAGAAAATTTTCTGCTTCAAAAGTGACAAACAATCAAAAGTGCTAATGAATTCTTTTGGGGTTAAAACTAAATTTGATGTTCAAAATATGTAATCTATATGCTCACCTAAAGATTTATTAACTTATCCTTTTATTCAAGGGGGGATTTCACAACGATCAATCATAGCTTTGAATTTAAATTTTGGCACTTCTATTTGCTCCAAGTTTGAGCTTTAATCAATTATCGCTTTTGGTTAACTAATTAGCGAACCTCTGTTTTACTTCTAGCACCTTCTTAATTAGTTAAGCCTTATTCTTATTGATTAAGGCTTTTCTATCTTGTTTTTTTATGGCGTCCAGTTTTGCCTTATTTGATTAAGGATCCATGTTAATCAGTTAACAACGTTCTATCTTCACTAAGTTCTTTCCTCTTTGCTTATCTTAACTAATTAACTTATCTTGTGAATTGAGCAAGTTTATTGACTTGCTTTCAAACAATAATTTTATTAAGGGATTTAAACTTTGTCTTATACACTTAAGTGATATAGTTAGATATCAAAGCATGAAGAATATTTTGTTATCATAAAAAATAAATGAAGTTTTAGTTCTAACTTTTCATTAATATTTAAAGAAAATAATTGACACTCCTTTAATTTATTTGGAAATAAATTTATTCTGTTAGGTTGAAAAATATAGTTTTTCTCTCTTGAAATATAAATTTCATTAGTCAAAATAATATTGAATTAAAGTATATTATAAAAACCTAAAATAGTCTCACCTTGTCTATTATTTCTTTATTTTCTCTTGTTTTCCCTTTATTTTAATTCCATTTTTTAGTTGTTTTATTCAATTCCTTTTGTCGCCTAACATTTTTTTTTTCAATTTCGGCCATTAAGATAATTTATTTTAGTTAAAAGTAATTTAAATGAATTCAAGATAATTTAATAATATTTATAATTTGACTTATTAATTCAAATTAAAATCGATATTAATTAAAAATGATTTCAAAACTGACATATGCCTTGGAAAAAAAAAAGAGATCAAAGAAAACAATGCAAAATAAAATAACAAATGAAGAATTTAATAGCAAATGAATATTTATCTTTTCATCTAAATTTGACTTGATAATCATGACATCATTACTTTTTTATGGATAAAGAAAATATTTTTCAAATTAATAAAATTTTGTTTATTTTTATATTTTATTAAATTAAATTTTTTAATTTAATGTTGGGTATAATGCTCGAATAAACTTTTAAACTATTTAAAAAAAATTCAAATAAATTTTTATTTTTTTATTACGTTTAATCAAGTTATTATAATTTTATTTTAGATCAAATAAGCTGTCATGATTAATGATTGATTAATTATCATTAGTTAAAATATCGGTTATCATTTATATTCACATGATATTAACATGATATTGATATTGAAGGTGAAAAATTTTTCATGAATATGTTATTATACTAAATTAACATATCACGTTGTCATCAATCATAATATATTCGTGATCTACATCATTATTAATTATGATATATTAATAAGTGACGTCAACATCAAATAATACAGAATAAAGCCTTCTCTCGCTGCAAACAACTACACCGTATAGCAACCCAGATTCACTGAACGTCGACCTTTGCAATTAATGTTTGTGGACCCAAGCCAAAAGACTCGTTGACCCCACAAACATCTTGCCTTGTTTGGTGTTAGCGTTCATCAAAACATGACACCTACGTAACTTAGCCTTGGACCAACTTCAGTTTCTACATTCATCCAAAGAAGGAACATCTGCCATTGCCAGAAGGGTAACTTTTTTTGGTTTTAGATTCTCCTTTTGTTCTTGTTCTAACGCTTTCAGTCGGTGTCTCACGGTGAACAATTTCCATTCTCTCTTGGAATTAAAGAATGAAAAAGCAAAGGAAAGTTTGAAAATGATGTATGGGAATCAATCTGATAGCTGTTACGGATTACAGGTCCAAGTGAATGGGAATTTAATAGTGAATGGTTTTGGGCAGCAGCAGGGGAAGGAGATGATGGCATCCTTTAATAAGAGCTGGGCTCAGCAGACTGAGGAGAGTTACCAGTTGCAGTTGGCACTGGCTTTGCGAGTTTCTTCACAGGCTGCTTCTGCTGCTGATTCTTACTTCTTGGATTTCAATTCTGATGCTAATAAGAATAATAGAAATGACACTTTTCCTCTGACTTCACAGGATGTGTCTCATCGATTCTGGGTAGCATTTCTTTTTCTCCCTTTTGTATTCTATTAAAGCCAGCTAACTTGTATCTTGGCAGGTTCTTTTGTCGTTGGATACTTGGTTAATAAATGGTCAATTGCTCTATGGTTGGTGGTGAATTTTGGGTTTTGTTTTAAGTCGAAATTCCTACAGTGTTTCTGCGATTTTATATAAGAACCAAGAGAGATTGTCTTTTGTTTATGTTTGCAAATGCACAAGGAAATTGTTTCTGTGCCTTTTATCTCTCGTTGGTTAAACATTGTTTGTATTTTGTACAATTCTCTAAGAAACGTTTTCTAGAATTTGCATTGTTTGTGGCACCAAGTCACTAATCACCAGGTGGAACGCTGTGATAGTAAATTGTACGTGCAGTTTGTTCCATCAATAGTCAACAGTCAAGGACGCTGGTTATATAATATGGTTACTATAACTTCTGTCTCTGAATTTCTATCTGGGAGAATATCGTTCTAGATAATATTTTCTTGCTGGTTAAAGTAATTTACATGGTCATGTCTGGAAAAGTTCACAAAAGTAGTTCACTTCTTCTGTATAAATATTATAATAACTGGTCAGTTCATTGCGATTTAATAATTAAATGCTACATATGAGCAATTTATACTATGCTATGATTTCTTTGGGTTCAGGTAAATGGCAGTCTGTCTTATTTTGATAGAATTTTAGATGGGTTTTACCTAATCCATGGAATGGACCCTTATGCATGGACCATAAGTGCTGACCAAGGAGAGATTGGCCAGATGCCATCGTTTGACTCATTGAAGGCCATTGATCCTCATGATGATTTATCAATTAAAGTTGTTCTGATTGATAAATTGAGGGATCCTAGATTGAGGGAACTTCAAAATTGTGTTCTCAAAATTTCTAGTAGCTGGGTGAGCACAAAAGATGTAATTGATCAGCTTGCACGTCTTGTCTGTAACCAAATGGGGTATGTTCTCCATTTTGCATCAGTCTTGATTTTCAAATAATCTTTTATGCCATATCTCTTATGAATAAAATTTTGTTGTCACCACAAGGGATGCAGCCTCTTCTGAAGAAGGTGTTTATAGACAATGGAAGGAGTGCACCAAAGTTCTGAAGGACTGCCTAGGCTCTATCGTGTTTCCAATTGGAAGCCTATCTTTTGGCCTTTGTGTCCATCGTGCCTTACTGTTTAAGGTATATCTCTGACACCAAGTTAGCTGTCATTTAATGTATATGGATATACATATATTTTCATTGCATTTTATGTATATTTGTCATTATAATTTGTTCATATTTCAAATTATATTTTTGGGGTGTAATCCATTTTTTTGATGGAAAAACTAACTCTTACCCCTTCTAAACCTGTTTTCTCTTTTTATATTTTTCCAATTGACTGTTGGCAGAAATGCTTATAGGATGAAAAAATCTGTCAAATTATAACTTTTGCAGGTATTAGCAGACTTGGTTAACCTACCATGCCGAATCACTAAGGGCTGTAAATATTGCCAGAGGGAAGATGCTTCATCCTGTCTTGTGCAGTTGGGTGTTGACAGGTAAACTGATACTCTTGTTGGTGTTTGTCAAGGAAGTTTTTATAGTAATTAATCTTATTAAGCTGGAAATTATTGGGAACTTGGGCAATGTTTTTGAGAACATTTTCTGGTTTGAGAGACACTGTGATTGACAGTTGTTATTGGTGAAATATGTGACAAATTAATTTGCATTTTTCTGAGGTAAATGTATATATCTAAAATCATTTGGACTGCATAAAAAGGTGAATTTCAGGAAAAGATATAATGGCTTTTACCATGCATATTTATATCCAAAATCCATTATGCCCGAGGGTGACATAAAAGGTTTATTAAGTTTATAGTCATTCAAGGAAAAATATGTAGTTTAAGTAGCCTTAGAAAGAATAAAGATTTTAAAGAGTGGTTGTAGAATCTGATGGTTCTTTTGTTCAATATAGTATTTCAACTTGCATAATTTGTTGTATTGAAGGGTAAGAAGTTGTCAATGATGGAAGAAGACTACTTAGGTACTTGTCCAGCTAGTATGAATTGATCATTGAAACAGAAAATAGAAAGTTGTTAAATTTAAAAGCATTTTTCATGAAAACTTGGATAGTATCTTGCAAAGGAAAAAAGTGCATTTTTGAGAGAGAGAGAGATCAGTTTTATACTTGGATGACTCATTTTTCAAATTTGTGACTGATGGATTAGGGTTCGAAGGTAGAAGGGTTGGAGAAAATACATTACAAACATACGTTATGGCAGTTGTCACCAGAAAGTACATATGGTGGAGGATAATACAAAACACATCATTGCCATCTTGAATACTGATGACCGCATGGGTTGTTTTGGCAATAGGTGAAAGTTATTCCAGTTAAGTGGTGTTATCCTATATTAGTTTTTTAGTGGTTCATTGTGGCCTTACATTCAAGGTTGAGCCTCCACACCTATTGCAATTTTGTTTTAGGTCAGGATTTTACATGGAATCAGAGCCAGGTTGTTTACTGCCCTGTGCATTATTGTGGTTGTTTTTGTTGCTTTTTGCCTCTTACTTTTTGTCTACACGTTAGTACGGTTTGTTTCATCTGCTAGTATTATGCCTATACATGGGAGAAAGTATTAAAAAGTTATATTTACAGTTTGTTGTGGCTGTACATTCAAGTTGAGCCTGTCCAGCTATTACCAATTGGTTTTATGTTAGATGCTTCACAATTCCAATCTCTGGAAAACTTCAGATCTGTTCTTTACCTCCTTCAATGTCTTGCTGTTTGCTGCCAGGATCTAATGATGTGTTCCAGAAAACTGAGAAACACTTCTGATTTGGCTTTTCCCGTTTATTTATTTTTTTGTGTTTGGGGGGGGTGATGGGACTTTGATGAAATGAAAATTTGACAATTACTAAGCCTTGCCCAAAAGGTCCTTCAGCCATGATGAATCTGTAATGACCAATGATTCCCAAGTCAAAGCAGAAAATTGATCTATGTAATTGGAATTGATCTTTATACAGTATTTAGGCATTTTTTGTGGGCATATGCTATTAAGTTTGAACTCTATGGAGCCACTCTTCAGATCATCTGGCCCCTTTTCATCTGCATGCCATGTATTAACACACAAATTTCCAGGGAATATTTGGTTGATATGTTTGCAGAGCCCGGAGCCTTAAGCCGGCCAGATTCCTCACTAAATGGTACATCTTCAATTTTAGTTTCTTCACCGCTATGTCATCCAAGATTTAAACTGGTTGAAACTGCTACAAGCATCAGGAAATTGTCCAAGCTCTATTTTGTTGATGATCAATCTTGTAAACAAGCATTTGATGATGCTTCCTCAGGTTATTCTCTTGTTTCTTCATGCATTTACTGAAAGGCCATGCTTGTAACATTTTTGTTGCATATTTTTAAATATTTTACTGTATGTACTTCAATTGCTGAAGTGTTTTTACCATAGAACATCAACATATATCATTCTCTACCTCATTTTTTCATTCCAATAGCTTCTTTTTTCCCCCTCACATGTGATGGTTATATTTAAGTACTTTCCTTTTTTGGTAGTCTTTATAAATCTAGTTGTAGCAGTCTGGCTATTTTTTGTTTATCTCATAGTGGTGAACCAACGGATTAAAATTCAATTTTATATATAATTCTATTCAATTATGATGTTCTTCTCAAAGGAATCATTTATTTCTAAAATGCTAAGAAGGGTCATTGTTACATACTCTGAATGGTATCTTAGATAAAAGTGGCACGACCGACATGACGAAGAATATGATAAAATGAGCATGGTTGAAGAAATAGCTACTAAAGTGATCTATATATGATGTTTATAAAGTTATTGGTCTCTGATCACAGCAGATAATGCTAGCAATCAAGATGACCAAACTGGTCCACAGCTTAGTAAGGCAGTTGATATGCATTACTTTTACAAGAACAAGCCTGTTTCCACCTTAATCAACAACAATGGATCTACTCTGTCACCTCTGCACCAGAGAACTGCATGGAATATCTACTGTGATAAAGATCTTCAGATGCAAAACTCATCAAATTTGATGCCAAAGGCCATTGCCTCATCACATTTGGTCAGAAGTCCTCTTCTGCCAAGTTCTGTCCCATCTGGTATGCACAAAGATGCTTGTCAAGCTTTAGCATTCTCTGATCCAAGGCAATGTACCATGAATTCTGTGCTGTTCAAGCAATCAGATCAGCCAGTAATGAGCTTTGACTGGGGAGATTTGGATATTCCTTGGAGTGAACTTGTCTTACAAGATAAAATTGGAGCAGGTATATGATACTTTAAACTCCAAAGGACATCACAACTGAATAATGTAGCATTATTAGATGTTGCTTCCAAGTTCTCATTCACACAGTGCAATGCATTTTGGCATTTAACATAATTCAAAGATTATACATTAAGGATGCTCATGAATGCTTTTCAGGTTCTTTTGGAACAGTCCATCGTGCTGAATTGCGTGGTTTTGTAAGCACATTTTCCCTTTGTTTATCATTTAATAAGCGTCTGGTTAGGATTTTAATTTGAATGGATTGCTATTTTTTAATTGCCTTGGTTTGACATTTTCCCACTTCCATTGTGGCATGATGGAGGGAACACAGAATTTGAGCCTCTTATTTCATATTTTTCTTTGAGATGTGGAATATGTGCAATTAATTAGATTGTCCTAAGTCTCGCTTCTTAAACTTTGTGTTGCATTTGATTGTCTATGAAGGCACCTAATTTAGTTGGTTGTATCAGATCACAACTCTTAATTAATAAACTTATGAATCCCCAATCATTGTGTATGAATTGGGTGGGGATGGGAAAGGAAAAATTAGATGCATACCGTGCTTCTGTTTCTATTGTTTGTCAATATTGTATTCAGTAATTTGTCATCATTGTTCTTTCCTTACTATTCCTCTCATGGAGCTGACCTTCTGTTTCATTTTCTTTTTACCATACGATTCCCATTTTAATTGCAATGCCGCACTGGAATATATGTTTTATATGCTCTCCCTCTCATGGAGCTGACCTTATGGATCTTTTTCCCATTTCCATTTTAATTTCAATGCTGCACTGGAATTTATGTTTTATTTCTACACCTATGTTTTTTGTGCTGCAACTGTCAACTTCATTTAATATTAAATGGGCCAACAGGAAGTTGCTGTCAAAATTCTCTTGGAACAAGGTTTCCATGCAGAACGCTTCAGGGAATTTTTAAGGGAGGTATGATTAGGCCGCTTTTTTCAATAAAAAGAAAAAAAACCACCTGTATCATCCTGATGGAAAGTAATGACTAGCTCTTCTTTCTGAACATGCGTTGGTTTTTCCCTGTTTCAGTTTTGCAAATCATTGTTTTCTCATTCCATTGCTAGGTTGCCATCATGAAACGTTTACGGCACCCTAACATTGTTCTTTTTATGGGTGCCGTTACTCAACCGCCGAAGTTGTCCATTGTTACTGAATATTTGTCAAGGTACCAGGATTCCTCTCTTATTTCATTCATATGTTCTTTCCTTGCATTCCATCTCAAATGTGAGCCCAACTGATACACTGAAATGTTGCTTTGGCCTGCAGAGGCAGTCTATTTAGACTTTTGCAGATGCCTGATGCTGAATTGGTATTAGATGAGAGGTGTCGCTTGAATATGGCATTAGATGTGGTAATGTCTTAGACAACTAATTTTGTTCTTTTTGAGCTAATAGAATCTCACAGGAAGTCTTGCTTGCAATATTTGAAATTACTTCATAATTTCTACCGCATGCTGAGACATGTATTGCTGTTTACAGGCAAGGGGAATGAATTATCTTCATCAACTTAAACCTCCCATTGTTCATCGGGACTTAAAGTCCCCAAATCTTTTGGTAGACAGTACTTATACGGTTAAAGTAAGTGTTGAAAACTCATTCTCTGTTACATGATACAGATCTGTTTTTTTTTTTCTCTTATTCATTTAATCCAATAGAGTGAATAGGTTTCCTGGGTCTCTTGTTTCATTGGGCCAATATGGTTCTTCAACTCAATATGAAAATCTAGGTAGTTAAATAATCTTTTGCTATTTATTCTTTTTAAGTTTCGAGAGGCACTAGAAAGGGAGAAACCTATCATTAATATCTTAAGTGGGTACTTGGCCCACTTATGGATGAGTTAATCCACTGGAAAAGCAGAAGCAAAGTGTTTGGCTCTCAAAAATTTTAATTTATAACTTATGCAGGAAGGTCGTTTGACCTTTTAGATAAAACTATAAATCAAAGTTTCTTCAAAAAGTGCTAATGTGTAGTAACAAATATTTGATCGGACTTCTCTAAATTCTCACTTTACCCTTCACTAATTCATAAATTTGAGGAAAAATTATATGCTTTCACATTCATTTTTTTTTATTTGGTTAAAATTTTTTTCTCTTCATTTAATTTAATTTATTATTTTTACTTAATACAAAATTATTTTATTTTATTTCTTTCTTTCAATCTATAACTTATGATTTTATTTAATATACATTTATTTTTCTTAATAATGTTTACAAGGTGGCGTCTTGTCTCCTTTTTGAGGTGGCATAATTTTGTTTCAAAATTATAAAAATTAAAAAATATATATTTCCAAAAGTAATTTTTATACGTTTTCATTCTTTAAATCTTACTTGGCATCACATTTTGTTTTCTTAAATAATTCCTACCTAACAATTTGCACGCTGATATTCACAATCCTTATTATTACTTTTCTTTAGAAATTAGATGGGAGCTCTCATTCTTGACTTCACGAATAGAAATTCAAGGGGCAAAATTGCATTATACAAAAACACGTATAAACTTCAAAGAGGATAACTTATCATGATGTCATCCAATTATTTATCTGCATACTTTTTGCGATGTCACCTAGTTATTTATTTGCAATCCTATAGATACATGTACTTATACTGAGATTGTTCATATGCCTTGTGATATAAAATATTTAGTTTGTTCCACTACAATGCTTTTCGATGCTTGAGAACCCTTTTGCAAGAGAGTCCAGTGCAGGGAGCAAAATATAGATGCATGATTTTGTCATTATATTATTTTATTATTACTTTGCATCATTTACAAGATAATTCTTATTTCTTTGCTTTTATGTTTATTCACATGAATGTTTACATAATCAGCATGGGCTCTAGGATATTTGATAGGATTCTAAAGTTATACCCAGCAACTTGGGATGTTAAAGATTTCTTTTGGCTTGGTCTTAGTGTGGAGCTCATTAAGAATTCACTTATTTCGTAGCCTTTCTTCAAGTGCCCAGGTCCCTTCAATGGGACATTGTTAACTCATGGCATCTTGAACTCTTGGATTTGCTTCCATAGTTTATTGCCAACTGTCACCTTCTAATTAAACCAAAAAAGGTTTTCTACCATTATAAAGAACAATTTCAAGTAATTTGCAAGCTGACTTTTGAAGAAGTTAGCATTCACTCTATTCTAAGCTTCTCTCTGTAGTCTTATTTTTCTCACATCTGTTAGATTTACATTTAGCTTTTATCAAGGAACACCTTCTAGGGGCATCCTCCCTCTGTCTTTCCATCACTTGCCATGTGCTACAGGGATCTTTACGATTCCCAGTTTTTCTCTCTGCCTTTCCTCTCTTACTCATCCCATTGCTACAGTGCAATGCTCCTCACATCACCCTTGCAAACTGAACCGTACACACAAGGTAATTTTATTTTAGAATTTTGAAATTCTCTCCAACAATGATATTCTTTACTGAAATATTCATCCAAACTCACCCTTAAGGAGGCCACATGTAATTTCTTTTTTTATATAGTTTTAGAATAGATACAATTTGTTCCTTGTCACCAGTTTGCAGCGGTATGTGATTATTCTGTAAGAACTAATATGAACTGAGATAAACTTGTTGCTTATATATGCTTCACATGGGGGCAGCATTGGATAAGACTGACCCAAATTATCTTCTGGAATTTTGGTGCATGATCATCCAGGTCTGCGATTTTGGTCTTTCACGTTCAAAGGCAAATACATTTCTTTCGTCAAAAACAGCTGCTGGAACTGTAAGTTCAGTTTGGATCTTTTTTTTAACTTTTAGTTATGTAACAGTTACTTGCTAGTTTATTATGTTATGGTGTTCTTGGATGATTCCCATACTAAAGTTTTGTAACCTTATACTTTGTTCTAGCCGGAGTGGATGGCACCAGAAGTTCTCTGCGATGAACCATCAAATGAGAAATCTGATGTTTACAGTTTTGGAGTAGTTCTATGGGAACTTGTGACCCTGCAACAACCATGGAAGAATTTAAATCCAGCACAGGTCATTTATCTTCTATTTTGTTAGAAGGCATAATTTATCCACAAATCTACAGACCAATGCTTGCACAAATGGGAAAAAGAAAGTTGCTTCTGTTGCAATTTTATTTCTTGAAAGGGTAAGGGACAGAAATTTTTAAGGTGAATAAAATCTATTTGACAAAACTGTGTTTATAAGAAGAGTTTTGGCTCCTCTTTACTATTGAAAGGTGGCAGTATAACTAAAACAGGCAGTTGGCTACAAATTTATCTGGGATTTGACATGTTACCAAATTTTGGCTAGAAACTTAAGTGGAGAAGTCCAGGGTGGAGAAGATCAGAACCTTTGATTTGGTTCCCTTCCTGTATGTATAGTCTAGTGCACAGTAATTTCCAATGCACTCTTTGATGCAAAAAAGCTTTCCATTGTTTGTCCTTTTCTTTTTCTTTCTCATTCCCCTTTTTCTTAGTCATAACCATTTTTCACTACAAATTACTTACCAGCAGAGTCTTGTCATTGGAACCATAGTAATTCAATTTGGAGCAACATGCTAAATTTACTTTGCTGACAAAAGAAGGATAAAATATGAAAAAGGGCAGCACTCTGGTTATGCTGCTGCGTATTCTGATCCAGGTGCTTACCAAGTTGGAGCAACCCATGTGATGGAGAGTGTTGCAGATGCGTTTTACAAATATTTAAGGAACAGGAAAGAGTGATTAATCAAGTCCAACAACTAAGGGTCATGAGTTGACTGACGAGCAACCCATGTCAACCTCTTAGGGTTTTTTTGTTTTTTTTTGGGGGATTTTGTCTTGTATGTTGAATACATTAGATACTTGTTTTCAGTAATTCTCTGTTGTAGCCAATCAATCATGGTAAGATTGGTGATTGGTTTATTTTGAATGCTTCTTAGATGCAGAAGCATATATATAGTAGAGAGAGTAGATGCATCTCTTTGTATGTGTTTTAAATTTATTGTTGATCCATGGCTTAAAAATCTTGCTTGGTTTTTTCTGTAGGTTGTAGCAGTTGTAGGTTTTAAAGGTAAAAGGCTGGAGATCCCAAGCAATGTAAACCCAGTTGTGGCTTCCTTGATTGAGCTTTGTTGGGCTAAGTAAGTGGACTATCACACTTTTATCAACTGCCAAAGATGCATTAATTTTACATCTGAATAATCTCAAATTTGCAAAAATCACTGCACAATTCTGAAAATTTGAAACAAGTGACAGGACAAAACACTCGTTTCTCTAGTGTAGAAGAGGAAATTAGGTGGGTTTGGGTCAAGTCATTTAAAGTATCAGATTGTTTCATGTTCAGGCCTCTTTAGGTTTTAGGTCATTCAAGCTGATAACTTGGGCTCTTGTCTTATGGGGTTGTGAGTTGCTTGGATTCAGGTGATGGTTTCAACTCATATGGGTTACTGGCCATTTTGGTTTTCAGCTCACCGTGGTTCTAGTCATCTTAGCATAGATGGAACAGCTTACTAACTGTCTATTTAACATATGCAAATTTACGATGGGTGATCATCATTTAACTATGGAGATGAAATGCCAGGGAGATAGAGAAATCATTAGTCCATATAAAAGTACACCTTTTATAAAAACCAACCTAATAAACCTCTCTAACTTTTGCAAGAATCAGGTCATAGAAAAGCATTATAAATAGAAAAAAATAATAAGCAAGATGAACTTAATTATAACACTTGGAATTGCTTAGTATTTTCATATTAAATAAAAGAAAATTCCCCTTGGAAAAAGGTACCCTATAAAAAAAAGTTAGCCAGGACAAAAATTTAAGAAAAGAGCGTTATTAATATTTTGGTGCATTTGTAACATTTGAGTTTTGGTCATTAAGCCAACAATTGAAAGAGAAAAGGGGAAGAAAGAAAATAAAATAAATACAGTTGGAACCATATTGCTACATGTTTACAGGAACTCTGTCGATGTAAGTTAATCTAATAATCTAATAATAAGCATGTGAGCATTTGGCTCAATGGGAAGTGCTTTAATTCACTGCTCAAGGAGAAGGGTTTTAATCTCCCTTCTCCTGATCCAACAAAAGAAAAAAATGGAAAAAAGATAATCTAATAAGTAAATTGGCCCAGACAAGAAATTATGATATTTAAAAGATAATTCAATGAGCTCAATTAGCAATTTTAACACTTAGCCACTTGGGTTTTCATCCTTAGTTGGAATTTGAACAAAGTATTTTGCCTTCTAGTGATTATTTTAACCAACCTGAGACCATTGAGATTAAACATTAAATGCTTGGCAGTAATTTCTATTTGCTTTGTAGGGTTGAATGGCAATTGCAAAACTAGCCCTGAACCTTAAGTCTTTTAGGACACAAACTTGACGCAGTTTATTTACATAGTATTCAGAAAAATAAGGAAATTAGATATGATTAAAATTTTTTTATTTGGGTAAACCACAACCATATAGAGAAGGAAAAGGTTTTTCCACTTTTTTATGCAGAAAATATCTCTCTAGGTTGAGTCAGGGTGCCAGGCAGGATAGGGTGCATTGTTCTGGTTCAGTTAGCTTTTGCCACCTTTGAACTTGGGTACACACCTCTCTGTTCTTCCTCTCGATCTCATTCTAATAATTGACCTTTCATTAACCTGCAGCAATCCTTCCAAACGCCCTTCATTCTCCTATGTCATGGAATGTTTGCACCAAGTGATCACAAATACTGCATCTCAAGAATTTCATCGACAAATTTCGTGATTGGCTTAAAGGTGGTTACAAAATATGTACATGTAAGCATATGCCTTCCATCTACTTATTGTTCGGGTCTGTCATGTGTGCTGTCTTTTATATTAACTAAGATATATCCTGAATTTTGAAAATCCATCGTACTCTGGAGATTTTAAATTTTCCTACTGTTACAAGCATGTATTTACTCAGCTGCATCCATCCCTTAGAGTTCCCTTAGTAGTCATCTGTATTCCAAATATCAAATATCTTATTGACAGATGTCTCCTTAGATGCATAAAGTACTGTATATTATCTCTAAAAAGTTTAGTCCTGTGCATTGGGTCTTGGAAGGTTGACTGGCAGATGTGCTATTCTTTGAGCGTTTGCTAAAGAGGCCACTTTCAAAACTCAAACTGGCACTCTTGCACTGGCCAAGCTGAGACTTTCAATTAGTGACTTTGTATGTAATCATTGCTAAAGAAATATACAAAGAAGGACAAAAAAAGGATGATCAGCCTTTTCTTTCTTCTTTTCCTTTTCTAATATAGGAGATAAATGGGTAAAGGGACCCAGAAGACCTCCCCAATCTACACAAACATTAACCAATCTATCTGATTTGATCACAAAAAGTCAACAAACTAGACCTGCCCAACCCAAACCTAATTTGACCCAAAACTAAATCTATCTGAACCCGAATAATTCGAACTTAAATCGAGGATAATTTTATTTTGTTCTTGTAAAGTCTAATTTGATTAAAGTAATGAATATAGCGCATTTGAACATTGGGGTCATTGATTGGTGTATGGCTGCCTTGTCTAAATAATAGGGTTCAAATCTCCCTTCTCCTAATTAAAAAAAAAAGTAATGAATATAACACAAATTATTAATCTATTTATAACTTTAAAAAGATAATAACAATCTTTTTATTTTCTTTTGTTTCTAACATGTTTAACTTTGGTTTATTGTAAGAATCTTGTTGTGATTAAAAAAACTTAAAATCTTTTTTTTTTGGAAGTTATACTTAAATTCAATTTCTGGGATTATACATCACAAAAAATATTTGATTCTTACCAAGTGATAAAATAAATAATTAGAATAGATAAATAATAACTTACAAAACAAAGAGTAGGCCATAGATTAGAAAAATAATCAGCAATACATCTAATTTTAAACTTTATTTATACCAAACATCTTTTTTATATTTGTATGCAAATATTTTCTTTTTAATTTTTATCTTTCAGTAAAATTCTAACATTCATGAAAACAATTAAAACCACTTTTAACTTTTAAAGTTATGATTAATCTTGTAAGCAGTAATCATGATTGGTGGTAAATCTAGTTAGTTAATGTAAACATGTGGTTATAATCAACATAACAAACATGAATATTTAATACCAATCGATCGAAAATCTTTTTTGACTTTTTTGAGGGAAAAGTTTCTAATAGCATTTGATATAAAATAATTCTAAATTAGTAAATGATTTTTAATTTACTTTTTTTGGTGTGTCCTTTTTTATGATCTATTATTTTTTAAATGTCTTTAATTTAAAAAATTAAAATTGGAGTTGTGTCAGAGTTACAAGTTGGCAAAATGTGACCTTGAGTAAATTAAAGTTGATAAATTCTAACTCGGCATAATGGCCACCTCTAGTCCTCTTAATTGTCTCTTTTAGATTTATGAAAAATATGAAGTAGATCCAATCTATAAGTCCTTGGTTTTACCTCCCATGGCAAACTGATTCTGCACAGTGGTCGATCATTATGCCAAGAACCATGCATTCAACTATGCCTTGGAATTTTATATGGTGACAGTCAAAAGTGCTGGTTCCTGTCATACTTCAGTTTGAATTACAAACCTTAATATCAATAATAAATCCTGATTTGTGTGCTTCTTATATTGGTGGCAGGATCTTTGCTGTACATTATTTTTCATTTGCCAGTTGAGGAAACTTAAACAGTCTCCATCTCGATCTGGGATGATAACCTTTGTAGTCTTTCACGCCTCCATCATATTACAAAATATTATCTACATTGGATACACTGTTAATATAGGGGAAATTTTGTGAATAGTGCTGTAAATAGAGCTCATCTCAACATATTGATTTCATCTACCTTACTTGTGTCCAATAGTCTTTCATGCATTCTCCCACATTATTTCTCATTCGGCCTCCTATTTAGCCAATAACATTACATGCATATAAATATTTCCTCTCTTTTAGTCCAACATTGCCACCAAGTGTCCTCCATGCAAAAATTATCTATATGCTTTCTTTAACTAGTAAAATCACATGCATATTTCACCTTGTGCATTTGTCTCCTTCCTTTTTTTTTGTCACATGATTGGGGTCCCACATGTTCCCCAGTAAGATTACACCTTTACCTGCCATCTTTTGCATATAATAATATTGTTACATGCATGTGCCAATCTTCCACATAACCTCATTTTCCAAGCCTAATTATTTTCTTTTCATCTAATTTTACTTGTGATCAATAATTTCTCTATCTGTATAATATAATATAATATAAATGAATAAAAAATTATTTTATTCAGTCATCCAAAAATTCTATTGTTGGTCTCCCCAATTTGGACTTAACTTATCTCTCGCATGATGCAACCCGTTCTGGCATCAAATTATTTTAATACTATTGTATTAATAAAATATCATTTGATTTCAAAATTCTTCACTTGTCTCCTTGGGTCCCTAAGTGTCTAGTAACGACCTCTTCCCCTCGATTGCTACCGGTGTTCGAGACTTGTGAGTGAACTCACCAAATCTCAAACAAGCCTTAATTTGATTTCCACATCATATCACATATTAACACCAATAATCATTTGCATCAAATATTTACATTGATTAAAACATAACTATTAGATACAAACATCTAAATTTAATAACTATACATACAACCCGTCATAGTATTTAAGCATTCCCACCTAGTCTTACGCTTTAGTATTTACATCTCTAAAGACTATCGATTTTTACAACTCGGATTATTTTATACACAATGACCATTAAGCAATAGAGCGATTAGGAGTGGAAATCTATAGATGCTGTACCTAGGGCGTAGTCACATTCGAGATATGGAACACAATCCTAAAGCTGATCACTTATCTGCAAAAGAAACTAGAGTGGGGTGAGTCTCACAGACTCAGTGATCATCGACTCCATGAATAAGGTGTAGACGGGAAACAAGCTAAAAGTAGAAGAATGGAAGGTTTAAAAACATAAGAATATACATATACCAGCAATTTGTTCAAAAATGGAAAGTTGTGCCTTATGTGCAATTAAATACGTTTATGCTAATTAACCATTCAAAAACGAATTTAAAGTAATCAACTATCCTCATGCATAGCATCAAATCAAGGCTATCACATAAGTAAAAAAGAGCAGTAGCAAACTATTATTTTTTTTATCTTGTAAAAACTACTTACGTGAAAACCAAAAGAGTTCACTCTCTAATAGGTACAAAAATAGCAACACGTGGACCCACTTCCATGTCATATCATCCAAGAGCTCCGCTCCACCGGATCCCTACATGCCATGGTTATCTACTAGCCTGTCAGAGAAAAATCAACCGGTCGCAACCGTATATGATCATTTGTGGCCTAGCCACGTAAAATCACATACATTGGCCCCAACCATGTCTACCAGCCTGTCGGCTACCCAAAGGTTCTCTAGCTCGAGCTCGCTTATGCATAAGGGTCACAATTAATCGAAGTGACAACCGACCTACTCTCGAATCTCTCGGTTCCTTAAAACCATTCAGAAATCACATCAAGTTTTCAAAAGATCGTTTTAAACCATATTTTTCAAAACACCGGTCAAAGTAGCATTCTAAAATCGATTTTTGTATCCTCTTACTATGTAAATCTTTTTGCCTAGGTTTAGTGCCTAATCCGCATGGTAAATAAAGATTTATTCATGAATGCACTTTACAAATCTCACAAGGCACGTTATTGACAACCAAAACATTGAAAATGCTTGCTTCTCGATTTTTAAATTCTTTACAT